CCCCAAAACCCCAAAACCCCAAAACCCCAAAACCCCATATAAAATATCTCTGGTTGAAATTTCACAAAACTTATGCAAAATTAGCATCCTTTACTAGCTAAAAGCGCTAGCTTTGCATCTTTTGATGCAGGTTTATCTGTTCTGGTAGAATACTGGTTCTCTTGTGTGGAAGAATCGTTACTAATCTTCTTTAAATAAGATCCGAATTTAGGCCGAGTAGATTCATCATTGGTACTCCTTCAAGTCAAGTGTCTTGATAAAGAAATTTTTGAAGTATCATTATGAAGGATAGTCTGACTCTTTTCAGGAGATTCACTATCATCATTCATATTCTAAAATTATTACCATGATATTTTACCTTGCTATAGCTTAATTTCCTCTTAACTATTTTTCTGCTCTCTAGAGATGCTGATTGTTGTCTGTTAGGAGGACTTTTATTCCCAAGAGTTCTCTTTTTAGTAATCTTTTCATACCTCTTGCTTTTCCTTGGTTTCGGGAATTTAGAGTCTATCTCAATCTTGATCATATCATTGACCATTCTCCTCAAGTAGTGCTTCAGCATCTCAGAGCTTTCCTCAAGTCAAGGATTTGTGTTGACTTCTATTAACCAGAGGTTGAAATCAGAATCCATAATGAAATCATAGCCAAATAACTCAAATCAGAATTTGCGATTATTAGGATTTAGCTTTCTTCTAACAGAAAGAAGGCTATGTCTTATCATCTCCTTCATTCTTGGGAGTCCATCTCTTTTGAAGTTATATTTCTTCTCTGGGCAATGTTCATCAATATATTTTTGGAAATTATCGTAAGACATTTGGTTTCCATCCTCAAAATCTCCATAATTCTCAGCATGCTTCTGGATCGCATTATTAGTCAAATGGACAAGTTGGTCATCTGGATTATCTTCATCTAGCTTGAATTCAGACCCACTTGTTCTTAAGTATCCCTCTTTGAAGAAGTAGCATTTACCAGTGGAACTGACAAATACCCACACACGAATGTCAAACTTTCTTTTATGAATCAAAAGGGGTTTTTCGATATATTTCTGTATGATCATCATCACTTTTGTATTATCTGTACTCCTTTCCATTGAGTCAGGGTTCTCACTTCAATTCCATTGCTCATATATTAAAGAGCGTAAAGATTCTAGTGAATTGAATACATGGATTCCTCTTCCTCTATTCAGATTAGTAGCCTTGAGGATCCAGAAGTTCTTTCCAATAGAATGGGACAGAGGCATCTCGTACCTCAAATGGGATGATTTCCCCCTATTTTTGAAAATTAAAGCTTTTAAATTTCGTTCAAGAGGAGTTTTTGCTTCCTGATTTTCAATCATTTTCTTGTTTCAAAAGATTCACATTAATAATCTTTTCGTCAATAATAAACTCTGATTGGATTTTCTGGGCTGAATGAAGACCTTGAAGGGCTTCTTTGGCTTCCTCAAGCATATTAAAGAAAGAGTAGAATGGCATTAATGCATTATTGATTGCATTCGGTAGATTCATCTCAATCTTAATGAAGAACTGAACAGGTGTAATATCAAACACATTCTTTTTGATAAACTCTCAATGATTTTGTAAGAAATAAAACATGTTACTTTTCTCAGTAAGACATCTGTGGTTCTCAAAATGGTTCACCACCTGCTTAACAGGACCTTTCTGATTGAGTTTTCTAAACTTCATCCTGTATGAAACTGGCTGCCATTTGAAATTAAACGCAGAGTCTACATTGGGGATTTCTACCCACCAACTTCTTTGCTGCATTGCTTCTCTAATAAGATTGGAGTTATTCCCAGGAGTTACAATGTATTTGTATTTATTCTTATATATATTTGAGAAAGCAATTTTAGTAGAAGTCTTTGAGGTTAACACCCTCTCTTCTTTTCTTTTGCTCTTTCACTCAACTATTGGCTCTAATCCAAGATGGATTCTACACCAAAATTATAGTTTAAGAACAAAATTTCGAAAATTGATTGTCTGGCAGATCTCTCAAAGAGCCTTGGAATGTAATAAGCAGAGTATGTAACATATCTGTTAACTAATCTACCAATTTTTTATGTCTTATTCCTAATATGTAGTCAAGAAGAATTAGGTTTTAAATTCTTGTGCCATTAAGTTGTGAGTTGATTTCAAAGATAGATTTTGAAAATATAAAATTCTCAAGACGTATTTAAGCATGCAGAAATTAGTTAGATTGCTAAATTTTGTAGGTGGTAAACCTAGGATAGTAAAATTACAACAGATAATGGATAAAGATTAGGTCTAGTTATGCTATTATTCCACCCTAACTACTGATTTAGTGCAACTAAAAGCTAACCGAAACATAAAAATATTCTTAGGCATGGGAATATATGTGGAATTATAGATTTTTAAGGTAAGCTTTCAAATAAGTTTAAAGTTTCCCCTTCATTTATATGAGTGCATCAAGCATTCCAAAATTCTCAAGGTGATTTTAACTGATATTTACCTTTGAGCATCAATATCTTCTCTTTCATTTTGATGTGCTCTTATCTCTGTTTCGCCATATGATATAGGATGCTTATGAACTAAATTTTAAGGAAAGAGTTTACCAGTTGGAGTTAAATCCTTCTGGAATCTGTTTGATTGATAATCTCTTGCTCTTTCATCATTCTTCAGCCATTCAACATTAAGTTTTGTCAGTCTATTCTCATCAGAAACTAGTTGAGAACATAGAAGAAGATCTTGTTGAGCCAGTACTACATTTCTTAGAGCTTGAACATTATCTTGGGTCGTTTTTCTTTTCATCTGATACATCTTCTCATGCTTGGTTATCAAATGTGTATTCGGACTATTACTCAGTTTCTTCTTTGAAACAATAAGGTATTCCTGGGAAACATCTTTATTCTTTCTCCTTCTCTCATACACAGTAGACTTTCCTCTTTTCTCAGTATGATTTGGCCTGACATTTATAAGCTCTTGTACTCGAATCTCTGGCATAATATGAAACTGATTACTCGCTTTCCCCTCGTTGGTTCTAAAATTATGTTATCCCTAACCTCTCTATTTTATTCTGGTAATTCTTCAGAGCCTCTTCTTGATTTTTAATCCTGTAAGCTGAGCTAACTCTATTTGTACTGCCTAAAATTTACAGAAAAAGCTACCTAGGATTCTTTCTGTCCTTAAAACTTCTGTTTTCATTCTTTGAGTACAAAGTATGCTGAATAGAATACTTTCCTCCATGAAGAAAGCTAGATGATTTGTTTGGAGTCTTCGAGACCACTTTTCCGTCTACAAAAATTCTTTCATCACTATTATGATAATCAATAGTTGAGTTTTTGACTACAAATGATGGTTTTTGAAAGTTTAGCTCAAATTGGGTGGTAATCAGGTTCGACATTGCTTGAGCAGAAAATTCCTGGCTCTTTCAATAGTCTCCTTTCGAATCATAATTCTCTGTCGCCTTTCACGATGGAGTTTTATTTATGAGAGCAGGTTTATTCTCATTGGGCTGTTTCCCTTTTGAACAAGGTTCAATACTAATTAATTTATTGGTATCTTTATGATCCTTGTCATGCTCTTCAGCTTGATTTATGTCTTTATACGGGCTATATTGCTGCAAAGAACTAGAGCTACTCTGATGATTCTGCTTCTTTGAAGGCTGAGGAGTAGTTTTTGCCTTCACAAGAGCATCACTTCCTAATCTCTTTGGCATACTCTCTAATTTAGTAGAACTCGATGATGTCTTGAATCTATTTTCTGAAGTATTAGCCCATTTGGTAGTTTTTAAATCTTGAGCTTTCTTGATGATTCTAAATTGTTTTTCTTGTCTTCTTTCTGGAGACTTATTTTAATACCTTAGCTTTGTAATTTTTTACTTTAGGAAATTTGCACTTCTGGCTTGTCTTAGTCTTCCTTTTCTTCCTAATTGAGGAGCATGTGACTCTTCTTCGGACTGAAGATTTTGAAGTATTGTTTGTATTTCTTCCTAACTTATCCATTTTATTTATGAATTAACTTCAATTCTAGATATAAATTTAGGGGTTTTGGGGTTTTGGGGTTTTGGGGTTTTGGGG